TTCGTAACAAATGCAAACTATATGCATTTAAAAAATGGATGATTATAAAGCCATGTAAATTGTTTGATAAATGGCAGAGATGTTGTTTGAAGTTTAGCAATTTTGAAGTGCGGAAAAAGCAGTTGTTCGAAATGATGTTGATCCAGTCCAGAATTGTTTGATTCTTTTTTCCCTTCTTCATTCTCTTTCCTTCACTTTTTCATTTTATTTATTTATTTATTTTTTTCTTTGTTATTTAATAAATATGAAAATTATATATTTCAAATTTCTTTTAAAATTCCTTTTTCTTAACTTTAATGCTTTTTGTTTTGTTTTAAAAATAAATTTTCAAATATTTTATTACAACAAAATTATTTTTCTTTTTGTCAAATTATAAAGAATGATTGATTTAATTATCAATTGATTTCATTTGATAATATTTCATTTTAGACAAAATTATATTGTACAATATTATTGCAATTAAATGATTTTGCTATAAATTATAAAATAATATATTCATAATTTCCATAGCTTGAAATGTGACTGATATATTGTGATAGATATATGACAATTGACATTGATGTAGGCATTATTCATGCAAATGAAGAATTTTTAAGGCATGAAAATTTCAACAATTCATCTTATGACCATTATGCATTTGAACTTTTTACACTTTAACATTGGTCATCTTTCAGCTTGTCCTATAATTTTCTTAATTATTTCTTCTTCAAAAAATAATCTTTCATAAGAAATTTTTTTAATTTTTGCTGTAATCTAAAATTAAAAAATGACAGACAGTTTTAGGATTATATATAATTAATGCTTATATTATCGAATAGACAATTACATCTTTAGAAAATCTTGTCCTGAAATAAAGTTTATGTTAATTATAAAACAATGCGATCAACAGAATATTTGTTATTCCTTCTATAATCTGAAATAAAAAGAAGTTAAAAGAATTTTGAATTATGCGTAATTTATGCTTTCATTAATGACTGAACAATTAAATCCTTTTGTTTAATGAAAAAGTATACGATAAAATTAATTTCAGTCCTTAAATTACTTGATACAGTAAATATTCATTATTACGATCTTATTGTGCAACAATTTTAAACCAATCTTTTTAGCATTTCCTTAATTTCTTATCCAAGCATCGTTCCTATTACAATTAAATCTAACAGGAACAGGAAATAGATATCTCCATAAGTTCCTAAATTAGTTTAGGAAATTTGTGAGAGAAGAAATAAATGAAATTTGCAGCAGTTTGCACTCATATTTCAGACTATTAGTTTCATCAATAGTTTGGCTATCTAACGGTGTGTAATTTTTCAAATACTTTGAAATTTTCGAAATAGCATGTAATAAAATTGGCTTTCTACTGATATCGCTCACATTTTTGAACGATTTATTTTATGAAAATAGTGGAAATGAAAGGAAAAAAAAGGAAAATGGAAAGTTTTGTTGTGAGAAAATTGTTCCCAAATCTGCATTTCAACATTAATTTTAAAAAAGTATCGAATGAAAGTTTAGGAAAAAATGACTGAAAATGGATTTTTGCAGCCAAAACTTTATTAATTTATTTCCTTTCGATCATATTGATATTTAATTTTACATATAAGCATATGAAATGAGAAATTTCAGAAAGACGAATTATCATCAATAATTGAAAATTTTATATTATTAGTTGAATAGAATGATCACTTGATGCAGCCTTCAAATTTAATAGAAATTTGGAAACTAAAAAATGAAATAACTTTCCACTTCTTTTCTTAAATCTAATTTTTCAAATGAAGATATAATTAAACAAGGATGGAAATGAAAGCTGAAAATATGCTATCCGCATTTTAGACCGACAGTAATTAATCGTCTTGATTATGATAACATTTGGGGATAATTGATTACATTTTAATGAATATTCTGTATCGCGATATTGTTAAATGCTTTTATTGAAAATATTAAAGTGAAATAAAATGAACTGTTTTTTCATCATTTTCCATAACTCTCCTTGAGAATTTTAATTTTCAGAATAAACAAAATTAAATGCTATTTATCAATAATCCATTGCTATTAGACCATGAATTAAAGTTGGAACTTGACAGTGGTCATAACGATTGCAGAAAGAAATGCGATAAAACAGTTAGGCTTTGGCTTTCTTTCTCTACAATTAAAACAAATTTCCTTCTTTTAAATAATATAACTTTGAAATATTTCAAGTACTTATTTACTTCATCTCTTGCTTCTTTATTGTCTTAGCTAATTTATTCAACAATTAAATGGCTTGTTACAAACTTCGATCACAATTTACTGACTAATTTTTATTTATGACAACCATAGTCTTGTAAAAGATGCATACAACAATTTATTTAATTATTAGTAATCATTTATTTTAGTTATATTTATTTTAATTTTACTTATGTTAGATTTAATTTGCAATTATTTCATCAAAAATTTCCAGAGATTTATAATCAGCGGTTTATTTTTATATCTGTTAACTTCATTATTTATTACAATCTTGAATTTTCCGTTATCGTTGACAGCAATTGCATTTCCCATTATTGTACTTATTTATACGATCGCTATTTTGAGTGATAATCGACGACGAGATTTGTGGCCAATCATCTTTATTACGGTTTGATTTTATGAATTTATTGCAGGATTATAACATAGAAATGAAATGATGGAATGTAAAAGTTCAACATAAAAGTAAAAGTCAATAGAAATAGTATTCGCACCAAACTTTAAAAAATACAAGTATAAAATTAGCAAATAAAGCAAGCAATTTTGAATTCTTAAATCTTTCTTTAAATGAAAATGCAAAATATTGCATGAATTTTGAAATCTTCAAAATATTTTGAACCAATTAATCTTCAGAAATAATTTGCGTTAAGTAAATGGAAAATAATTTATGGATAATAAGGAAAATGTGATACATAAGGAAGGAATTGACCATTTGAATAAGGAGAACGATAAGTTGACAGTGAAGTAAGTAATCGGTAGAGAGATATATGAATCATGTCAAGCACTATAATTCTCAGTAAATTATAAGACAAAAAGAAAGAATGACAGTTCGGAACCGCAAAGTATTGAATTTTGAGAAATCGAATTTTAGCAAAGTTGCTTTATATGATAAGTTTAGTAGCGTTTCTTTCTTGTCTTATATTTGAAATTAACTATGAGAAAGGGCAATATTATATGGCTGGCAGCATTGTTAACCAGATGACCTTTCAGTGTGATTGATAAAACAAATTTCAAATGTTCCATTTAATTATGCTGCTATACCTTTATCACATTTGATTTATCTTTTCCAGTTTGCCGGTTTCATTCTGAAATTAATCACAATTACAATGTTTTTCATTATTTATCCATTGAGAGGCGATGAAAATGCTTCGAAAATTATGGATGCAAGGAAGAAAGCAGGACTATCCGGCAAATATTTCGAGTTTAACATATTTTAGATTTAATATTCAATATCGTTAATATAAATTTGGTTCAATTATTGGAACTTTAATCCACTTTGTTTAATTTCAGATTTGAGTTTCAATAATTTCATTTCTTGGAAATTGTCTTTTATTCCAACCTATAAGATATAAATGTCAATTGTAAAAGCATATTAGCTGAAAAAAAAGATTGTAATAGAGGATCCGCAATGGAAGAATATAATTCCCCAAAATACACACAATGTTAAATTCAGATTTTAGTTACTGAATTTCAAAGATTCAAAACTTTCTGTCAGAACTTTCTTTTAAAATATGTCATTCGTTTAAGTGTAATTTATGTTTTTAATAAAAAGAAGTGAAAGTTTAAAAATTTTTCGATTTTTTTATTAGCGATTTTTTTTTAGGTTGGATAAAAGAAGAGGAAAAACGACTATTTTTCGGAATATTCTTTTTGGTTGAATTTCTCGTACTAATAATGACACGTTGTTTGCATTGGTATTTTGCAACATTTTCTCATCACTCAGCAACAACAACAGCAAACACAACAACAACAACAACAACAGCAATTGGAAGATCCAAACGAAACTCACAAAGAAGCCATCATGTTTAATATTTATAGTTATTTCATTTGAGCCAATTTCAAATTTGCTTCGAATTAGCTTTTTTCTTATCCATTCTATCTATCTTATTTGTAATATAACGATGTGATTCAAAGTGATATCCAATTGTCAATTTTACTTGAAAGAAAGAAATTGCTATTAATTTAAATATTTTAAACCATCTTTAGCTTATCAATTAGCAGCAAATTTATCCATTTCTAATATAATCCTATCAAAAATTATCGATAAACTTTGATACAAATATATATTCAGCAGTTTAATAGTTGAACTAATAGCTACTACAATAGCATCGTCATACTGCACCCTTCAATGAACTTGAATAGTTCTGTATTGGCTAAATCATCCATATATATCGTATGACAGGGTAATTTTAATATCCTTGAAGCTTTCTCCAAAATATTCCATTGTATGTGCAATCTTTTACACGAATCAAATGTGTCGTGCTGAATTGTAACCTTCGATTCCATGTAAATAAATATTACTGATTTGACGGAAAATTAAAATGAAATAAAACAGTCTGAAATCCATTATATATTCGATTTACCTGTTCATTTACCTGTTCCTTTCATACAGCTAATGTGCTTCTTTTTTTTCGATTTCCATCTTCCTTTACACAATTTTTTGTTATTTAACATTATAAATAGTAGTGATGTGATGATGGATGTCCTTTCTTGTAAGCCACTGAATAGTTAATATCAAAGTTTCCTCAAATAGCTACTCTCTATTATCATTATTTCCTATCAAAGTATCGTACCTACTACTTTCAGAAACGGTGCATACACCTTTCCGGATGAGAAGTGATTCCTGACTTGGTGTCATTTGGAAACTTGTTGGTGGCGACTGACGACTTTTTGGTCATAGTTTTGTAGTACTTATATGAAATTGCAAATTACTTCAAAATATTGGCTGTGAAATGTTCAAGTTACAATCGAATCATGACAGATTCGTACCAGTATATCTATATTTAAGATAGCATGTACCGAAAAGATAAGACCAAGAAATAATTACTAATTAATCGATTTGGCCGCGCATATGCAATCCACTCACTTCCCTTTTCAGTATTTTTCATCCCGAAGGATGAATGGGCCGTTCCCGGAGGTAGGTGCGATACCGGGTCGACCCGCGGTGGGTGAGGAGCAAGCCCCTACAAACCCACCATGGTCTCAAAAATAGAATAATCTCGAAGTGACCGATTGGTCACATATCAGAGATTAAGCTGATAAGAACAGATACTACACTTTGATCTTAGCCAATAGGCCGAGAAGCGATGTCGTCAATTCTGCATTGCACACTATTATTCTACATTGCAACAAATTTCGGATGGGTTTTATAATCACAGCTGTATAGAGTGTGCTCTCTTTTCTTTCTCTAACGCATCGCCTGTAGCAACATAGAAATAGAAAATCGTAAAGAGAGAGAGAAGGAGAGAGAGGGAGGAAGAGATAGAGAGCAGAAGGGAGAGGGAAGAAGAGAGAGAGATATTGGGCAGCAAAGAATGACGGAGGAGGAGAAAGGGTAAAGAGAATTTCAAAAAATTTTCAACTAGCTGGTAAGTACTTTTGTGATATATCAAACTAATTCACTCTAACATTGATACAGTAATATTCGACGCTAATATTTGCTTACAAATCTCTTTGGATTAAAATTGATGGAGAAAATTTTGCAATTACAATTAATTCTAAAATGAAAATACATTGAATCATTGTATCACCATTGAGAGTACTTTTCTCTGTTCGTCTCTCTCGTTCATTGAACCACTGAACAATCTTTGCTATGTTATCTATACAATGGTGGGAAGGTAACATCGTTAGTCTTGCTCTCCTGCATTTGACCGTGAAAATCTTTCGCCTTTTACTAAAGATTTCCGTGCAGGAGGGTATTCATGATTGAATACGTATTTTTTGGAAGCCCTCTTGGGGGCTATAGTTTAC